AAGAGACAGGATACAATATTTGTATTTCTGATTAAAGGTTTAGGGAAAAACAATTATATGTACACTGTATTGCTTTGATGGCTCAAGAAAAAAATGAGTGCTTACTTACAGTACATTGTTTTGTTCAGAATTTCAAAATAAATTATATCAAATCAATTGTTAATGAGAGGTATATAGTGACAGAGGTGTAAACAATTTACTTAACTTAAAATATATTAGAAGGCAACAATGCATGCTGTGGGAAACGCCGAGTCTCAGTAACGAAGGCTGAAATAATGCAAATCTACAACAACGTGTTATTAAATCCTACAGTTGAACATTTGTAATAATTTATCTGATCATCTGTTGTAGACACTGTGAACACACATACTATTACTATATCATGTCTTACCTTAACTGGAACAGGCACCGATGGCAATACAGGTGTAGAGGAGGTACCTGGTTTCCTGCGACCTTCTTTTTTAGTTAACTGCCGAAATTCTTCAGGAGCATGTACAAGTGGAGGTACAGGTGTTGACTTTCCTGCTGATGCTGGTACTGGCTCAGCTGCCTCTGCTTGGCTTCCTTTTTGTTTCAGTTTCTCGGCCACTTTACTTTCTAATGCATTATCAAATATATCCTTGATACGTTCACATTCTATAAAAGATAAAGAAATTCATCAAAGCTTGAGTGACAACAACTGAAAATATGATTTTAAAGTTAAATTGTTGATTGTCATACCGTCCATGTCTTCAGCCTCTTTCCACACACTACTAATATCCGTAGTTTGGAAAGCAGTCGTCAACACAATTCCATCAGTCGATGGTTCTTCTTCATTAAATCTGTGGAAAGAACAGTCTAATTACTGCTTGTAGTATTTAAGTGCTATGATTGGGTTGTGGTTACATGGAGGAGTAGATACCAGATAACTTTACTGTCCGAGAAATTACACTTGGATTTTACCACACATGAAAAATTTTAAGAAGTCAAACATATATAATATAAAGGAGGTGTCAGATATAAATTCCGACATACAGTCTATAGTACAATATATACAACAAAACATGCTGTTGGATGTATGGGTAATGACAATTAAGTACATTCATGTTTGAAACAATCATATTTATGTGGCATCATACTGTATTTAAAAAAAAAAATACATAGAAAGCAAATAAAATACAATTAAGTGTATAAAAAATGTACAGCAATACGGCAACATATATATTGGAAATCCATTGACAGATACAGTACTTCGGAAACTTACGTTCTTTCAAGCAGAGTGTTTACCAAACAAGTCTTTCCAACCCCTTCTTTGCCTGTTACCATTAATCGTGCATGGTTTACTGTGATCCTTCCTTCTTGTAACTCCTCGTTAAAAACCTTCAGAGCCTCACTGCCTCTGGCTAATATTGCTTCTGGAACTTCAAAGCCTAGTTTATAAAAGCAAGATATTATTGTTTATCCATAAAAGTATAAAGAAAAAAAAATATGAAAAGATGATGTGTGAACAAAAATCTTTTAAAAAGTTAAAATGGATATAGGGAAATAATCATTTATAAAAAATGCGATGATTTGCTTATTGTCTTAAAAATATTATCATTTTCACTGTTATTGTCATAATCATCATCAACAATATTGTATTAAACAAATAATTAAACAAATAATAATAATAATATTTAGAAGTCGAATCTTATGATATTCTAGATCAAAATTATTTTGGGTGATATGAAATACCGAAGTAGGTACATGGGCTTGACGCAGGGTTCCCGGAACACCGCCCTCAGCGGCGAGTGCGAAGCACAACTCAGGGTCAAAAGTGGAACGTGAAATTTGGATATGGTTTTGTAGTCAGATTTGCGAGAAAAACTTCAGCTACCCGTATTTCTCGACTGAG